TTTTTTTTGTTTGCTTCTTTTTCCCATCCATTCTGTTTTCCTCAGTCTGTCATTTTTGCATCTCCTCCTCTAATGTCTCATGTTCATTGTTATAATCAGTTGTAACTCTTCCTCCCCTATCAGCCCCATCTGTCAGCTCATACAGAAAGACCTTATATATTTTTTCTTTTCATCCCATTAAAATCGTTTGGTGGGTGTCCCGAGAGAAAAATATTCACCATTAGAATGTATTTCTCCTGCAGATTAAAAAAATATTTTTAAATTGGTTACCTTTTTGAAATTTGGGCTAATTCAAGATGTTTTAGATAACATGGCTTTTGTTTTATTTAAATTTATTTTTTAGGGAGATTTCACATAAATGGAATCCTAAACAAATAGGAGAACACCTTCTACTGAAATCGTAAGTATCAAAAGCAGCATTTATATTGAAATTTTCCATCAGTTTTCATAGTGTTAGAAATGAAAAAAATCTTATTAAATAAATGTAGTGAAGGAAAGTAGAGCAATGAAATATTTGTGGGACTAGAACTTCATAAGAAAAGTAACAAAGAGTCAAGGAATAAAATCCTGAAATGTACATTATCTTTTAAATAATCTTTCTAATTTGAAAGGCTGAAATCACAACCTAATTTTTCAAAGGTCTTCAACTTGTTGAACCCAAATTGCCAGGAAAATTATGATTATTATGTTATTATTTTATTAGTAAGCAGACATACATACAAATTTATTTGTATGGTGATGAGCAAACTCAAAACCTTAGTGTCATTACAGTGTAGTCTTAAGGGCACGTAGTGACATTACAACACTGACCATTTTTGTAGATTAGAATTTTACTCTTCACTTTTTCAATTTTTTTTGAAGATTGTGAATTGGAAACCCCCCAGCTTGCTGGCTCCCTCTGTGGGACATTCCAGCACATTATTACTTAGTGATGTTCCATTCACCTTGAAAACCACTACTTGCCAGGACCTGGCCCATAGGGTTAGGTAAGTCCCACCTTGATATTATTTTAAATAACTATATTTTGCAGGCTTGCAAAGTTGTAATATTACTATGTCTAAATAGTGACAATAGGAAGCAACTTTGCAAAGCTGTACAATATTGTTTTTTAATAATAAAAGGGGACTTCACTCACCATTGGAAACTGGCCTAGCTCTGCTGGGTGGGAAATCTGGGAATGGATAATGGTAATAAATAGGACAATAGAACAGTAGACTTGTTCAGAGATCACTGAAAACGCGAGCAATGGAACGGATCCCTCTTCCTAATTTTACGTATCAGATTTATAGGCTACATTAGCTATACGCAGGTAGATGCCCAAACATGAATCATAGACAAGCCTACATTTTACTGGTTTAAAATAAAATTATTTTCTTTGCAGGCTGTCCCTGTGTTACTATTAATAAGCATCTTATGTTACAGGTCTCTGATGTATCTTTAGGCTATAGGTATTAATAGTTAAAAACCTTAAAAATATTATTTATACTTGAATATGAATTATGTTGATATTAAAGTAGATATTTTAAAAGTTAGTGTAAGCATCTTGTTTCAGTATACTGATAAGTTTGTTTTAATTTCTACAGACTAACTTATATAGTGGCAATGCCTTTTTATTCAGCAAGTCTAATTGAAACAGTACAGGTGAGCTATTTTTTATTGTCATTTTTTAATTAAAACTGTTTTAGAATATCCAATATATTGCATATGTCTGACAGAGTAACAAAAATTTAACACAGCATCCTTTTAAACTTTTTATCTCGCAGATACCACATATATATCAAAGATTATATACCAGGCACATTGCTGGTATGTCTTATTTCCTTTGCAAATTTACTTCACACTTCTACTTTTCATTCTTTTTATCCCTTACATAGGCTGCTATATTCTTCATTTAGAAATCTCAGAACCCAATCTATGACTTGCTCTGAATACAAAAAATCTATGGGGATTTTTTTCAACTTTTTAAGACCCTCTTATAACTCAAATGGTTATGGCTTATGGGACAGTAAATTACTAATTACCTGAGTATAAAACATGATGGATAATAATCCTAACAGTGAGAAGGTAGTCTCCATAGGTAGTTTACTAACAGCGTTCTTTTTAAATACTCCTTTTAAGGAACATTTGATTTTATGCTGTGTTAAGTGTACAAAGCTAAAGCAATCTCCCGCTGGCATTTTAAATTGTTTTACTATTTCTAACCACATGGTGGCGCTTCGAGTATACTGAATTAAGATACTTTTCTCACCTCACCATTCCAATATTTAAACCTGTGAGATAGTTTAACTTTACCTATACACAAAATCCAGCTAGTTGTCTCCCACCTGTCTTCTGTCTTCAACATCAGATCCTCTAGCATATTTTTGTCTTCATTGTGTATGAGCTTCCTCTGTCTACAAAAACCTCACTGGATCAGCCTTTCCTCTTCTACTCTTTTCCACTTAATTGCTTTTCTGGCCCCAACATTGATTTTTTTATGTATTTATTTTTTAGAATTATTAACTGAAGTTAATGTCTTGTGACCCAAATATCCTTCCCTATCTCCTTGCATTTGGCAATGTGAAATGATACAACCTTTAGATGGGGCTGCAGTTTACATTCCACTCTGTGAGATAGTCTGATTTTACAGAAAAGGAAAAAAACTAGCAGGAAGTTTATTATTTAAGGAAAAAAAAATCCTAAACAGCATGTTTTATGGGGGGAAGCAAGTTTTAGCTTTAGACAGACCCATATCAGAATCACATTTCTCTACTTAAATCTGTGACTTTAAGCAGATGTCTTAATCTTTCTAAGTTTTCTCATCCAAAAAATGGTCTTAACTGAATTATAAAAATTAAATGAGTTATTTATGTAAAGTGCCCAGCTCACTCTCTGTTAGTTGTTTGTTTGTTTTAAAAACTCAGTATCCACCCCGAGTGGATATTTTTTTCCTGCTTCAGGTTCCACCTACTATTTGCCTCCTTCTTACTCCATTTGTCTGATTTTCTAGAACTTTTTTTTCCCCTTCTTCAATTTTACTCTCTTGAACATCTTCCTTTTCTTTTAATAATCTCTTTACCATCTCTTCTCCTGTGCTCCAAAGGCACAGTCCTTGACCCTCTATGTTTTTTATCCCATATTCACTATCCTGGAGAACTCATTTACTCTCATGACTCCTTTTAACTCTAATCTTTATATGAATTTTAAAAATTAGGAAAGTCTTGATTTTTGTATTTCTTTCATCCTTCATAACCAGTCAGTCATCATGCCTTCTCAGTTCTAACTTAAGTGAGTATCTGAGATCATCTGCCTCTCCCACTGAGAGGCCACCATTCTCATCCCTTCTTGTTATATTAGCACATTAGCTTCTTTCTTCCAGCTTCAGTGTTTTTTGCCCAACTGGGGAGCTCAGAAGTCTTTGAGAACAGTCTTTCTCTTGAGAAATACACATTCATACATAGATCTAAAGAGCACCTCCTGAAGCCGTTAAGTCTGAACTTCCTAGTGATCTGCCGTCTTCACCAAAAGTCCTCGTTCTAGCCCCTGCATTGTAAAGTCCATTCTGCATTCTCGTGCAAGATTAGCGTCCCTAAGTTGCAAGGCTTATAGCTATCCTTCTGCAGATTAAGGATCCATATTCCCTAAGATCAATTTCAGACTTCTCAGTGTAGTATTAAATCAGGGTTTTTATTGCCTTTACCTTTTCAGCTAATCTTCCTTAACTGCTAATCTTAAAAAAATATTTTAAAAGTTTTAAATTTTAAAATGTATTGAGTGCTAACCTATATTAGGCATTGTTGTAGACCCTGGGGATACCACACCAAACAGAAATACTCTGCCCTCATAGCACTTATATTCCTTCGGGGAAGACAGATATAAATAAGATAAATATAAAGTATACTTCACGATGCTAAGTGCTAGAGAGAACAAAAGTAAAACAAGGAAATTAAATAAGATGTAGGGAGGATCAGTCACTATTTTTTTTTAAGATCAAGAAAGTCCACACTGAGAAGTAAAGGGCATTTGAGGAAAGATCTGAACATAAGAACTACATCAATATTTGGGAGAAGAACATTCTAAGCAGAGAGAAAGGAAGTGCAGAGGCGCTGAGGTGGGATTGTACCTTACGTGTTTGAAGAGCAAAAAGGAGGCTGATACAGCTGAAACTGACTAAGCAAGGGAGAAACAGAGGAAATGAAGTCTGAGAGGTTAGAGGAGAGGAGATCATACAAGACATTGGAGATCATTGTAATAATTTGGCCTTTCCTTTGAGGGAGATGGAAAGTCTCTGTGGGTTTGAGCAGCAGTGATCTAACTTATGTCTTTATTAGGATCTCTTTTGGCTGCTGTATTAAAAATAGACTAGAGTGGCAAGGGGGCCAGAGGTCAGTGAATGAATTAGGTAACATGAATTCATTTTAGTCTCGTGGCTTTAAATATACTCTGTGTACTGAAAACCCTCCAGCTCAGACCTTTTCTTTGTAGTCTAGAATGTAAACTCCACTTAACATTTCTGAACTCTTGATCCTCTCCCCCTAAATTGCTACGCTAGCAGCATTGCCCAACTCAGAAACAGCACTGCTGCTCCTCCACTTCTTCTGGCCAACAGCCTTGAGGTCATCCTTGACCTCTCTCTTTTATACTCCCACCCCAATCCACCAGTAATTCCTTCCTGTTGGCTGTAATTTTAGGATATATGCACAGCTGAAGCATTTTATTTCCATTGCTACCTGCTAGTCCATTCCACTCTTGTATCTTTTCTGGAGTGTGTAGTACTTTTTTAACTGGTTTCTTAGCCTCTGCTTTTATCCTCCTCTGCACAACAGTGTGACATAAATTATATCTTGTCCATCTCACACTTAAAACCAACTGGCTGTTCCCATCTGACTAGAGGCCAGAGTCTGCACAGTGGCGTGGTCTGGCCCCTGACCACCTTTCTAACTTCATTTTATGCTCTTCTCTTCAGTCATTGCTGCAGCCAAATTGGCCTCTTAGCTGTTCCTTTTCTGCCTGTCCACGACTCTGTAACCCGTATCAAACTTAATTATGTATATCCCCAGAATTGTAAAGAGGTAGAGACGCTGCAGATGATAATGACTGACATCTATTGAGTGCCTTCTGGGTACCAGGCCTTTTTGCATTTAGTGCCCCCAGCAACTCTGGCCTTAAAAGGGTAGGTAGTACTAATCCTGTTTCCATAGAATGGTAAACTGACACTTAGAAGGAGTCAGCTAACCTGCCTTGGTCACAGAACCAAGGCAAGTGCATGACGGAGGCAGGGTTTAAACACACGCTTAAGAACTCTCAGCTGCCTCTTTAGAGCCATGTGGTTACTGCTTTTCAAAATGAGTTCTCAGGAGCTTCTTGAGGGTGAGGAAACCAGGGAGGTCCCCTCCACATTCTTCCGCTGTTTCCCTTCCCCAATAAGAATAGGTCCCAGCTTCACTGCTACCTGTTTTGTGAAGTTTTATTTGAAAAAAATGATCTAACGCTGGGATACCGTTCGAAGTTTGCCAACCATTGATGTTTTTCCACTCTAGTCAGTCTATTAGGATTCAAAAGGGACCTAAAAAGAATCCTCCTTTGGGGCAGAATAAGCAAATGTTAACCTTTCCTCATCTCATCACCTTCATTTCAGAGTGAGATAATTCGAGACAATGCTGGAATTCTGGAATGCATTAAAGAAGGAATTGGGAGAGTGATAGGCATGGGAGTGCCTCACAGCAAGCGGCTGCTCCCGCTGCTTTCCCTGGTCTTCCCGACGGTGCTGCACGGGGTTCTTCATTACATCATCAGCTCCATCATTCAGAAGATCATCCTGCTAGTTCTAAAGCGAAAGGCTTACAATAGCCACCTAGCTGAGAGCACCAGCCCGGTGCAGAGTATGTTGGATGCTTATTTTCCAGAGCTTATTGCTAACTTTGCTGCCAGTCTTTGCTCTGATGTGATACTTTACCCACTGGAAACAGTTTTGCACCGCCTTCACATTCAAGGAACACGCACAATAATTGACAATACAGACCTTGGCTATGAAGTGCTTCCAATTAATACACAGTATGAGGGAATGAGAGACTGTATCAATACCATAAGGCAGGAGGAAGGAATGCTTGGCTTTTATAAAGGGTTTGGTGCTGTTGTAATACAGTACACGCTGCACGCAGCTGTTTTACAGATTACCAAAATTATTTACTCTACACTTCTTCAAAATAGTGTTTGACATTTAGACTCCTGGTTAGTCTAAAAGACATCATCTGGATACTTCATTACGAAATTATGAAGGATATGAGTGAAATAGTGGGGGTGGGAAATGGTTTAGAAAGTAAAACTGGTAGCCCACGCTGATTATATTGACTCCTCACTTTTTAAAAAAGGCATAGGTATATATTTTGGATTCCAAGTATTCCAAATTTGAAAACAATAAAAATAACACTCATGAATTAAATTCTAGCTAGTGTAGCACTCATGCTGAACTAAAAATGATGTTGGGAAGAAGCAAAAATTTGTCAGCAAACTGAAAACAAAAGTTCACACAGATGAATTTATTTCATCTGACTTTAATATTTATTACATGTTTATTTCGCCTTCTAGATTGATACTGGTATGCCATTCCTAATATAGTGTGTAGTGGCAGGTCATAGTTTACCTTTAAGCAAATAAATTATGGTATCAGTGATAAAGACAAGAAGGGTTAGATTTGGCAGTCTGTAAGCAGGAACTGAGAGTTTTAAATTGCATTGTCCCTGAATAACTTTAATGGCTGTACATTTATTATATAAAGCCACTTGTATGCATACATATAACTTGGAATTTCCTTCATCCCTACAAATTTTCCACTCTTAGATCAGGTTACTGCATAAAATGAAGTCATGTACCTTCTGCTTCAATATCAGGATAAAACATGAAAAGCCAAGGTACCCAAATGATTTAAGGCAAACAGCATATTTGTCCATATCCAAACCCGCCGTTTCAGCGCCAGCAACTTAAAATTCATCATAGGTTTATTAAGTTTGATTTGCTTACCTAGTTTTATGAATCATCAGGCTATTTTTAGAGCCTCTCTTAACAGAGATAGAATACAAAATAATCATGGCAACTATTCCTGTTTCCACATTTACAAACTGTCTATTAAAGGGAGTGTCACTTGCCTTTCACTTTTGAATGACTTGCCTTAGAGGAGACACGATTAAAATTCACCTGGGAATCTGTGCCTCTTGCCTTCCGTATAGTCATCATTAAATAATGGCTTCGATTTTTACTTTCTTGTAGTTTTTGTTTATAGTTTAATTCTCGTAACTAGATACACGTAAAGGAAAAAGCAGGATTATCCTTATCACCTTTTATTTAAACTTGCTTGGATGCATCCTGAAGAAAAATAGAAACCTTAAAGGAAGTTTGTCCTTTCTTTTTATGGATGAGAAAAAGAAGTACGTTTCAAGAAGTAATAAGCAAAAAAGTTGTTAACACTTTAATAAAAAAAAAAATTCTATCTGTTCCTGAATTGAAGTTGGTGGGTGAGACTCTGTATAGTGAAATGATATGCATTTGACTGATCCATCATTAAACGTTTTGAAGTTTCATTTCCTTACGTGAGTCATCACTTTTACTAGGAAGCATTTAGCATGCTGAAGTACAGTGACTTTGCACTGATGTTGTCCAACCTAGATTGCATACAAATGGAGATCAGTTTCACTTGCTAAATGTCAGTGAGATGGTTACTTTTTGTGATTAATAATATTGGAACCAAAAAATGATATCCAAAAAGCATAAAACAGTATATATGTACCAACTCTCTATACTGTCTAGTGTGTTTTTTTTTAATTACTAAAACACCTAAGTTTTCCATTTTTAAATTCCACCAAGAGGTGAAAAATAAAATCAAATGTTATATTTTACAGTTATTCTTTCAGACTATGGTTTACTTTGTCCAATTTATGACATTTGAATTGTTTTCATTTCTTTTTTAATTACTAAGTAAATTTTTAGATATTTATATGTCCAACTTCCTAAAAGCGTTTCATTTTTATTATAATCAAAGAAGATGGTTTCAGACCAGAGTAAACTTCTGAAAATTTCTAGAACAGAATTTGAATGGGATCAAGTATCTACTAGTGAAAATCTGTGGGGTCCTTTATCCAGCTAAAAATTAGATATTTCCGGATGATTTGATAGAACAGAAGTTGCCATGAAGATTCAGTGATACAAATCTGTCTCAACATGGAATCATTACAAGACTGATAGGTTGAACCATACAAGTAGATTGGTCTTATTTTCTGTCTCTTTGGAGAAAGAATACAAATTAATGTTAAAACTAAAATGGAAATGCGGCAAGTAAAACACTAATTTTTTAGTGCCATTCAAAATGAGTTGAAATATTACAAATCTTTAAAATTCAAGCACTTAAATGCTGGCCAAATATGTTATCACTGAATTTAGAAAGCAGTAAGTGAAACAAACATTGACATACTCTCCCTTTTTAAAATTGCTCTATTTCCTTAGCATATCGGTGCCAAAATCAAATACCCATGGGCTACATTTCCTAACATAATAATAGTTCCAAATATTTTAATTCATTATGATTAATAGTATCATGAATAAGATTCTATTAAAATGTTCTCCAGTACCCATGACCCTCTTACATAAGCCAGATTTTGGCCATAGAGCTGAAGTATAATGTGCTTGCCTTACATTATAGGGCTTCTTGAGTCAGATAGTCTGAAAGCAAAGGAATTAAAACTAAAACACCTGGTAAATATTAATTTACTATGTTAAGTGAATTTATGAATTGATATACTAAATCATGTTTATAAATCTCCCTCGAGACACTCTTCTCTATTTTGTGGTTTCTTGAAAAATAATCTCTAGGTTTAAACAATTAAAGCCTCCAAACTCCAGCACTAGATGTTGTAAAGATGAAATAGTGAGAAAAAATTAATTTCAAAGTGACTATGGATTGTGGGGTTTGATAACTTAGCTGGTGTTCTCAGAAAGAAAACTGGAGAGGTGAGAGGTCTTGCTCACTTTTGCACATGTGCCTGACCACTCACAGCTTTCCTTGCAGCACTGGCTTTGTTACAGCTGCACGAAGCATTCACTTAACTGACTGGACAAAAATGCTTCAGTATTTCTGTACATTCATATATCTGCTCACAAAATACAACACACTGCTTTGATACTTGGTTTTTCAACTGAGATTGTGGAGGATGTTTGCCCCCAGTTTGCTTACTCGATCTTCTGGAACACAAAAGACTACTCTGCCAGTTCTTGAAAAGATAGCCAGATGTGAATTAATTATTTTCAATAATATATAAGCAAATAAAACCCCCTTGGTAACAATTCACATTGCACTAGAATTTAAGTGATACTTAACTTTGGCATTTCTGCTTTCTCTTCTCTTTCAATTTCAATATATTTGTCTCTTCTCCCTCTCCCTTTCCCCCTCTTATGTAAACTGGATATACAATATCTTTCTCTTGAGTCATTAAGTATCACTGATATGCTACCAAGTTGTATAATAGAGTAACAAAAACTTGTGATCTGACAATGAATCTTAAACAATTACCTCAGCTAGAAGAGGTGTTTTGTCTGTATGTGTGTTTTTTTTTTAAGTTGTTTTTGTCTCACTGGTATTTTAAATGTTTTCAGTAAATGTGTAATACAAAAAGTTTCAATAAATTGTTGAAGTAAAATCAGTATTTTTTTCTTAAGCTAGAAAACTACTCAGGCTGGTGGTGTAGGGGTTCAGAATATACCACCCCCCAAATATGCCATGTTGGCATATTGACTATTTTGAATTAAAGGTGCTTGAGAAACAGCTAGTACAGAAAGACACTCTGATCCTCTTTTGTTCCTCTAAAAGCAGGCAATAAATCTCCCCTGTGACGGGTTCCATCCCTGTACCAGAAGAGGGAGTTTAGGGCTGATGAGTCCATAAATAAACCTTGTCACTTCTTCACCACTACCCCAACCACAAACCCCTCTGCCTGTCAATTCTTCATAAATTTACTGTCTCTTTGTATAAAAGATATAAAAGCTTCCAGCTCTGGTCACTACTTCAAGTCTCATTTTATGGGGCTCCCATACATACAAAACTAAATTTTTCTCCTGTTACTCTGTCTCATGTCAATTAAGTAATTAGATCAGCCAAAGAGCCTAGAAAGGAAGAGAACATTTTTCTACACCTACAATGGAAAAGAAAAGTTACATTTTTGTAGGTAGAAATGAAGCTCAAGAAAAATGTATATGTTAAACTTTTTTGCCCATCATTTTAAAAATCCTTCTGAGGTAACTGTGATGTGACTCACAAAACAAGTAACATATTTCCTTATATAAGTTTTCCTGTATATTGTCTCTGGTAAAAGTCTTACAAGTCCCATATTTGATCCTCACAAGAGTCCTCAGGTATCTTTTGAGTAGTGCTGTTTAGGGAGGAAATAGATACAGGTAATGGTGGACATTGTAAGATGATCAGAAAAACCCACAGCCACTGAGGGCTAAGAATTACAGTTGGGACTTGCAAGAAACTGCCTAAAGGCAGGTAAGAAAAGCCAGGGAGATGGTTTCTTTGGAAAGTTAGGGCATTCAAAAGTGGTCATATATACTGGGGAAATTAGAAAGCCACTCATGCCCAGGACAAGGCGCGTGCTCAAAAGAGAACTGAAAAGACCCTAAACTTTCACTAGCGGATGATCTGTAAACCCAGTGTAAGCAGGAAGTGAAGGGCGAGGCAGGGTTGTAAAGAGCCTGGCTAAGGATTAGAGGGTATCCCAATACACAGCCGACCTGCCGAGGAACAACAAACTAAACATAAAGCCAAAAATCAAACCAAGGTCTGGTAATCCAGTTCAGTGCTCCCCTACAATGGTACCTTCCAGAGTCAGGAACAGATGGTCTAATATTACCTGCTCTTTAGGGGAACCATGACTAACATTTACTGAGTACTTAGTATCATGCCCACATCATTAAGAACTTAAATGTACTATCTCATACATTTCCTACAGCGACCTTGTGAATGAAGTAAGTACTGAAAATAATCTCATTTTACAAATGCAGGAACTGAAGATAGGAGTTTAAGAACTTTGCTCAAGATCATACAATTAGTACAGAGCATACCTCAGATTTGACTCAGGCCCTGCTCAATTCCAGGCTGGTCACCAGCCTGAAGTTTGCCTTGCTTTAAATAATAACCTTCAACAAAAGAAGTGAAGGTCACCACTGTTCTCACTCACTAATGAACTGCTTCTCACTAATTGCTTCCATGGCTCCACCATGGAAGGCTCCTGAGAGCTCTCTGCTAGGTCTTTCCAGTCTTCACCATTTCCCTCCCGTCTCCAGGATGCAAACGTCTCTTTCTTTGAGTTTTCAAAGACTTTTAATTCTTCCTTGTAACATGCAGACTTTCTACATTGTGGTTATCTGTGAGCATCTCTTAAATTCTCTAATTTTATGCTAGAGATCATGTTTTCTCCCCACTCCCACAACACATGGACACAGACATAAATTATAGACACAGTAGACGCTAGATATAAAATTGTGTACCTAATCTTGTCTATGTATTTTGAAACTTATTCCCTTTTAGTTTAGAATTTCAACACTAAGAGTGACCTTTGGAAATCACCTTGACTAAACCCCTTACTTCAAAATTTACATGAATCCTAGAGGTGTTTGGTGATTTTACTAAGGTGACAGAATAACAGAGTCGGTGCCGCAATCCACATCTTCCCACTCCCACCCAGGCCAGTCTCTCTCCCACATCGCCCTGCCTCTTATCATTCATTCACCTCTGACTCCCTCCTTCCCATCTACATATCTGCACAAACATACACCTGAAACTCTCTGAGCTCAGTGGTACTTGATAGACCCTATTTTCAAAAAAGAAACCTACATGTATATCCCTTATTTCATCTGTTATTTTTTTGCTCCATCTTTTGTCTTTTTTACTGACGCCAGTTTCTAATCCTGCCCTTAGAATTTTCCTGACTACGTTCTAAGTTATTGCTTTTTCATACTGGGTGCAGATCCTCTACAACAACTTGCCAGTGCGTCTCTTCAGCCCACACTTGTCCTCTGAGCTCCAGACCCACATCTCTAATTATTTCATACCTATTGGCACTTGTGTTCCCCACTGTTGCCTCAAATTCAATACACAGAAAGCTAAATTTATTATCTTTTGCAAGCTGGCTTTGTTTTCAGTAATGTTAACATTTTCCCAATCATATGCAATCAATTTGTAATTATCTTCAATTTCACCCCAGATATTTCATAGTCAATCAATTATTAAAACTAAAACAATGAACATGCCTTAGAGCCTGGAAAACCTGGCTTTGAACTCTGGTTCCATGGCATATTAATATACTCTCTGAGCTTTGGTTTCCTCGCCTTCTGTGAAATGAGACTAAGGCCTACCTCACTGAAGGCTAAATGACACAGTGTCTGTAGATAACCGTCAGGATTGAAGTTTTCCCCTTTCCAATCTCCTTTCTACCACTGGGGTTTTTCTCACTGCCTCACATATGAGTAATGGGTTTTCTCTAGAGCCTCACCTTTTAACAATTCAGCAGACTAGGAGAAATTACTCAAGTATCATTTTAGTAACATCACTTCCCTGCTCAGTTGCTTTCATCAACCACCTAATGCCCATAACAGTAAGCTGCTGCTCCCCTTCCAGTGCTCACAACTTCCCAAAGCCTTGCTCTCTCCTTGGGCTTCGGACCCCTCACTGCCATCCTGTGTTACCTCAGCACTCTTACCACTCTTGTTCCTGTCTTTGCATCCTTGTTCAACTTTTGCTCCACTGAGATAGTATCCTGTCACTCAAGTCCTAAATTACTCAAAGGGCCAAAGTTCATTGAGCATATTTTATATGCTAAGTGCCCTGACACAGCAGGAGTTAGGAATAAGACACCATCGCACGCACGAGGAACTTCCAGCCAAGCTTCCTCAAGCTACTCCCATCCACGCCTATCTTTCCTTCTCTGAAGTCTCAGAAATAATTGCCTTTATTATAACTCTGGCAGGTATCATGGGTTTCTTACTTAATAATTATGTTTATTATTGTTTCAACAAGACTATAATCTCCATCATAATAATGGCTAAATTTTATTGAGCACTGGATATCTGCCAAACACTGTATTAAAGGCTTTACAAATATTATTTATAAATTTAACAAACATTATTTCATTTAATCCTTACTGAGACCCCATGAGGGTTATCCTCCTTATTTTAGTTTATATATTATTATATAATTATTATATTATAATAACATAACATAATATAATATCATAATAACAATATCAATATAACTGTTCATAATATTAATGCACCATTATATGTTACTATCTCATTTTAGAGAAAACTGAAGCTTAAAAATGTTCATAACTTAGTGAAAGTCACATACTTACGAGATCTATGACTCTTATTACCTCCCAAGCAGCCTTCTCAAGATTAGGGATAAATTTACCCGCTCCAGAATCTAGCTTGAGAATCTAGTACAATTCTTGGTACACAGAAGTATTCAAAAATACAAATTGTATTTACTACAAGCAGGTAGCTTGTTAATATTACAATTTTACAATGTAGAACAGGCCCTTTTGACAATCAGTGTCATATCTAGAAAAATAAGTTCAGAACTCCTATAATGCTAGCCTGAAATCAAGCCCTGAGGCTAGGGCCTGTCCTGAGATCTGTTTTGAGGAATGGTTCACAGCCTCAGAGCAAACCTAGACTGTTAAGACTAGGAGTTTCTCTCTAACCCCAAATTAGATTCTACTGGAACCTGGTTGAAATTATTTTTAAACAAAAATATAACGTGTGCTAAACAAAGCCTATTTCTGGCTGCTGTAAAATCTTACTCTGATCTAACCCGTTGATAGAGGAAAACTTTACATGCCTCCCTCCAACCAGTGCCCAAGGAAAATATGTGTTTGAAATAGCGACTTCTTTAATTACTGATCTAGTCACAAGATTCCTGCATCCAACAATGGAAACATAGGGCCCAAGCACATTTTATTTCTTTAAAAAGCCCTATGATATCCCTTAGCTGGTGAACAAATGACTTCTTTGGGCTAGGTGAAGAAGTTCTGAGCCAGGCAGAAAAGAATTTCTATGGCCTGGAAAACATAAACTTGGCATGTTCAAGCTTTGAATAAAAAAAGAGGTCCATTCTCAGTTACAAAGTTTGCTATAATTTCTACCAAAAAATCCACAACACTGACATCATTCCCAACCATTTATAAACCATAGGGAAGGCCTTTTAGGTTCATGAGCGCAATTCCAACATGGGTTCCTACGCCAAACAATTCTTGGACACCAGCAGAGCATCCAAGAATTCAACTCAATTCTGATGCTATACACCTGGTAACTGCGTCTGATTCCACAGGTTAAGAGTTTAATCCTACAACACTGTTCCCACCCCACCCCACCCCAACACACACAGCCTCCAGATGCCAGTTGAAAACCCAGGTTATTACCTGTATTGCCCCACTAGCTACAGATTCCCAAGACCTCCTTGGGTTCGATTAATTTGCAAGAGCAGCTCACAGAACTCAGAGAAACATTTTACTTAATAGATCACAGGTTTAATGTAAAAGGATATAACTCAGGAACAGCCAGATGAAAAAGATGCACAGGACAAGGTATGTGGGAAGGACATGGAGCTTCCACGCTCTCTCTGGGTGCACCACTCTCCTAG